CAGAGAAAGTCCCATCAAAATCGGTCCAGCCGTTTCGGAGATAAGCCGGAACAAACAGACAGACACAGACAAAAAATTTAAAAAATTGTGTTTTTGTTATAAGTACCGTATATACTTTCATATACATTTAGCTATCGAAAAGCTGTTATTTCGACATTACAGTCACCTCAATTTTATTATTTGTATAGATAAGAAATTTTATATTGGTTGTCATACGATAACGCACCTACACGTTTTTGTTTAGAACTGATTTAAGGTGTCCATGAGCTGAAGGTAGCCACTTACCGTCAGGAAGACTACAATTTCATTTATCATAACTAATGCTCAAGCAAACTTTGCTTAAACAAATGTTAATTGAAATAGCGTCTAAAGGAAAGCTGGGAAAATGTAAACATTAATACTGTAATTGTTGACAGTAATGTTTATTACGTTATTTCCACAGGAATACTAATTTTTGTATGGGAGATGATAATTACAAACAATATTTTCTTTTTTTATACAAAAATACATTAGTAATGAAAAAAAAAACAAATTTCTTAATAAATTACAGAGTAAATCTAAATCAAATTACGAATGTGTACTACTCGTACGTAACTTACATTGTGACTTGAATTATTTAACAATTACGTAAGGAATATGTACTCTAAAATCAGGTACAAAATAGCTTAGATAACTAAAAATTACAAGTATAAAAAGAAAATTAAATATAATAACATAAGAATTTCAAAATAGTTGAAAGCAACATTTTCTATTTAATTTCTATTTTGATGTGGTTTTAATAATATTATTGTGTCCCATTTTTAACAATCATTCCTCTTACAAACATTAAATACAAAAATGTGAAAAAGGGAACTCCAATGTACTAAAAGTCAAAGGAAATACAAATTAATCACCGTGAGAAAAAAACACAAAAGTTTTCTGTTTATAAAGGTTCTAATTTCGAAAACAAAATTGCTTAATTTTTCAAATCGTATAGTTTAATCAACGAAAGTTAACAAGTAAACGTCCAATCGCATGCATAGCTAATATATCATAGTACAGGTGTCTTTTACCTGTTGAATTATAACTCATGCAACTTCCTCAAATAAAAAATACGTATTTATTCGATGCTCAGATTATAAACTTGGAGGTCTAACTTTAACCTCTCTATTTTCCCGATCTCTTACCGACTTATCATCATTTTCCTTTATTACAAAACGGATTTCGGCAAACTTTTAACAAGTAGTACAACAAGTATACTCATAAAACCAATATATAAAATTTCTTGATTTTAAATGTTACACGTTATCAATAATAATGGCGACAATGCATATTGTTATGGACGTTAGTTGAGATATTTTCGAATAATACATATTGTAATATATTTAAACTTAATGTAAGAAATACTTGGCGACGTTAATTGATACTTCTTCTGACCAAATACTGTGACAGACAATTCAAATACTTACTTATTCTTTAGTAAAATATACTAAGAATTACATTTAGGAAATTTTGTAGATAGAGTGTAATGAAATCTCAATTTAATACTGTAATGGTTTTCGCCAAAATTAAGATAACATTAAATACGTACTTACAGGTTAACATTTTCTAGTTGGCATCGCAACCTAACAAAGAAAGACAGAACACTTCGTACAATAATCATTCAAGTAAAGCCGAAAGCATGCTCAATAGTGTTAATATAATAATATATTATATTATATTACCAGGCGGTCCCATAATGAACTGGCCTGATATAGTTCAACGCGACATGTCGCTACATGTTGTGTTGCATTAAATAGTACGTTTATCGTGCACTTAATATAAGAAACATGCATCGACATGAAATGCTTAGTCTTAGTTTAACAGGCATTTGAATAACGAGAGTCGCGTATTTTTTCAAAATGTCGAAAACTGAGTATCGAAGTGTCATAAAGTTTCTGTTTAAAGAAGGTTTATCCCCTCCCCAAATAAAAGAACGATTGGATGGCGTGTATAAGGAGTCTGCCCCCTCCTATAGCACAGTGAAAAATTGGGTGAAAGAGTTTCGCCTCGGGAGAGAAACCGTCGAAGACTTTGGCCACGACGGTCGACCTGTGGAAGTGCTCACTCCTGAAACGATTGCTCTTATCGAAGAGGAGGTTCTGAGTGACCGCCGTTTGAAGATTAGAGAAATTGCAGCAAGGCTTGGGCTCTCTAAGAGTACCGTTCATTGCGCGATCCATGAACATCTTCACATGAAAAAAGTGAGTGCAAGATGGGTACCGAAACTTCTTTCAGCGGTACAGAGACAGGAAAGAGTGCGCTGCGCTTCGGAGTTTTTGGATCTTTGTGGCGAAAATCCAAAGACTGTGATCGAGCGGCTAGTGACTGGTGATGAAACTATGATCTTGTATTATGATCCACAAAGCAAGCGCGAGTCAATGGAATGGCGTTATAAGGGTGAAAAGCCCCCTAGAAAGGCAAAGGTGCAACAATCGACTAAAAAACTGATGTGCACAATATTTTGGGATTTTCAAGGCATTTTGATGGTGGATTTTAAAGAACGTAATACAGTCGTGAACGGCGAATATTATGCTTCTTTAATATATAAATTACGAGACAAGATAAAGGAAAAACGAAGAGGCAAGCTGTCTAAAGGTGTCCTGTTGCTCCATGACAACGCCCCTGTTCATACCGCTGGTGTTTCGAAGGATGCAGTTCGTCAATGCGGGTTCACAGAAATTCAACATCCACCTTACAGTCCAGACATGGCCCCGTCCGACTATTATTTATTTCCAAATTTAAAGCGGGACTTAAGAGGAAGAAAATTTTCAAGCGATGAAGAGTTGCAGGCGGCCGTCTTCAGTCATTTTGAGTATAAAAAATGTGATTATTTTTATAAAGGTTTAGAGATGTTGATTCACAGATGTCAGAAGTGTGTTAGTATTCATGGTGATTATATTGAAAAATAAAATTGGTTTCGTTTCATTTCCTTCATTGGTTCATAGTTAAGCCAATTCATTATGGGACCGCCTACGTAACACGCGCTCACGGACACAATTCCATTTAAAATCATTTGCAACCCAGAGCATGGTTTTAGGCGCATGTGTATGGTCTAGCTGTGAGTGAACTTTTACAGGCTGATAAATAATTAAAGAAGAAAGACGTGCGCGCTAAGAAGTTGTGCAATTTTCTAAACTCGTATTATTTTACAAATTTTAATAGGTATAGCATTATTTTAATTAATAGAATCAGGCGTTACTTTGCGGAAATCCATTATATAAAAGCTTTTACAACAATTGCGGATATTTGCGAAGTAAATTGTTGTAAAAGCTTTTATATAGCATTATTTGACACTTGATCATCTAAATATTAGGTTTTTTGTTAACCGTTTTCAAACCTTGTTGTGGAATGATTCAATTTTAAAAGATTTTAAATTCAAATGAACTATCTACCTCCATGAGTATACCACTTTCGTTGTTCAATTATATAAGATTCTTTAAAGAAACTAAGAGCCATACACACTGTAACAATTTTCGTTTTTCAAAAAATCTGCTTACAAAATTTGAATTACATATTTTACTTTATTTTTATAATATACAGACATATCACATGTTAAGAATTTACTTTATAGACATTTGAAATATATCATGCTTGCACAAAATGTCTACATAAAAAATTTATGGCTTAATATGGCAAAAATTAGAACAATATTTTAAAATTAGTGAGGTTCACAGCACAAAACATTTACACAAATGTACTTAGACAAATAAGTGTATAACATTTTATTAAACCTTAAGGGATTATCTATATCCTCTAAGACTAAATTGACATTGAAGACAAAGATCGGTGTGGGTGCTTTGAGGAAATATGATTTTGTTTACGTATAATCCTATTCAGAGAAAAAATAATAAGTATCCCATTTTTTTAAATAAAATGGTTAAACTTACATGGCAACACATGTGGGACGATGGCCGCTGGTTGTATAAAACCACCACACACCACACGTTCAAAGATACCGTCGCCGAAGACGGTGTTGCCATATTTAAAAAATTTGCTGAATTGTAAGTAACTTCTAGTAAAAAACATGTATTTTGAAACAATAAGATTTTTGATTCAATATTATAATTTAATGTTATTGTAATGTCATTGCTTTATCGGATTAGAGAGGCTGCTTTTGAAATATTGTATAAAGTAACAGAAACCAATTTATTGCTTTTTGCATCAATATTAAAAACGTAAAATGAGACACAATACACATAGAAATGTTAAAAAATTTAAAACTGGTTTTAATTTAGTATTATTATATAGGTACATTACTATATTTTAAAAATGAACATTGTCCGCTACTACATCTTTTATAGATTCACCTTCAGTTTGTATAGCAATCAAGACATATGAAACATAAAAACTTAAGTTTCCAACATAATTAAAATTCTTGTGTACAATATGTGTATTTTGAACCATTAATTAAATTAGTTTATTCAACTTTTTGTAAAAGTTATTTAGTGATATAGCTACACAGTTACTGAAAATAATAGAAATAATTTTTTCAAGTAACACAAATAGAAAATATTAGAAATTTAATTTAACTAAAAAAAATATACACCTTACAAAAGAAATTGTTCATAGTACAAAATTATAAAAAAATAAATAGCTTTTTAAATTAAGAAAATTGTAATCAATTTAAATATATATTTGTGCTTGTTACTTAATAAGCTGTCATAAGCTACTTAAATAATTTACACATTTTTAGGAAATCTAAATTCACTTCTAAACATGGAATGAATGACATACATTACATAGTTTAACTCTAACTCTTTATCATTTGAATCACTGCTCACACTTTTAGTGTTAAACTCTTTGGTTAAAACAATACTATTATTATATTCACATTATAAACACACAATTTTAACAAAACAAAAAAGCATAAATTTCCCATTCTCATGCAAACATACACCACATTTCTTCTATTAATATAATTAAGTAATTTGTGCACTTAACTAGTGACTAATTTGTTTTTAAATGATACAAAATAAAAACTATACTGTGACAGGTATCTTGACTTCTTTGTTTACTATATAAAATTTGTGCTTTTTACCTAAAACACCCCAAATTACAGCTACATTTTCAATAATAATATTAAATGGAATAGTAGCTAAAGCTCCACAAATAAACATTAAGAACTTTATAGGTCCAAATCTATAAAGTGGAAAAGACTTTATGACACCAAATACGTACATGTAAATATTCACAGCCCCTATGAAACCACAAATGAGATCAAGTATTTGTGGACATGGAATTGGACATAGGGTTGCTAAGAGAATGTTACTAGTCGATAATGGCAGTGTAACCCACGAATAACAGGATAGGGCAAGTAAAATCTTATTAACTAAAGGGATTTCTTTGCTGTGCACTACTAAGAGTATACCTTGAATCCAGCGCTTCCGTTGCTGCATGAAATCCCATAAAGTAAAAGGTGATTTTTCCCACATCTCTCCTTCAATAAAATTAAATGTATAGCCTTGAACATAGGCCTTCATTGCAAAATAACAGTCTTCAGCAACAGATCCATCCAGTCCATTGTCAAAAGATACTTTCTTTTCTGCAGAAACCTGGAAAAACATAGTAATTTTTGTTTATTTATTATAGTCCCACACAATATTGTTAAGTTGTCATTTTAATAGTACAAACCTGTGTCACCACATAAGAACCTTTCCAACTAAAAAGTGGTTTGTGAAAAAAATAGAATTGAAATCTTAACTTGCCCATATCATCTGCAACTCTAAAACTATCTGCCAGGGTAGTTAGCCAGTTAACAATATGTTCATTAGCATAAGTAATAAGGCCTTGGCCAAATTGGTGTTGGCCATCAAATACAAAGTTCAATATTCCACGAACTGAATTCTCAGTCAACAATGTTTCTTCATCTAAATGAACAATCCAATCTGTGTCAGCTAAAATATTCACTTCATCTTCTAAGCAGTATTGCAGTGCACGGGACTTGAACAAAGCACCAGATTTAGTCTTATATTCAGATGGAACCACAACTTCTCTGACTCTTCTATGCTTTGGCAAGCTAATAGCTTTATCTGTTACAACTTCAATCATAAAATTTTCCATCCCGACATCAAGGCAAGTGTTCATGTTTCTTGTGACATTATCTCTCACTAGCTTGGGGAAATCACCTCTTGTGACAACTCTAATACAAATGAAAGGGGCTAACAATGGCGATCCTTTCAATTTTACCTTGCCAGGGAAGGCATTGAATAATGTTAACCCTGCAAAGTTGCATAGAACTTGTGGAATTGTTAGAAAGGTAAGAAGTCTAAGAATATACAGAGTAATTGTACCATAAATTCCATAGGTTTCCCAAGGATCAATAATTCTCTTCTCTTTATCATCTAAACTAATAGCACCCGCAAACACTAAGAAAATAAATATGAATGTCATGAAAAACATGCAATGCATTAAATGTTGGACTCTTCCTCTAAACATTCTGAAACAATAAAATAATATCTCAATAACTAACTCTCTTGTTAATACGTAATTCAAACATTTTTGCAACAAATTCATTTACACAATCTCCTTAATTATCCTACAAAAATAATAGTATAATCAACATTTTTATCATAAGATTTAATAAGTTTCAAAATTATAATAAATCAACAAATTATTAGGACTTCAATAAATGTACCAACGTTTTAAAATAAATCAGTATAAGTAGTTTCTCAAAAATTAAATGATAAAAATATATTTTACACTTAAATAAATAAGGATAAATAACGTATAACGTAATGTAATTTTAATGAAATTTAAAATAAGTTTAAATTATTGTTACAAGATGCTAACAATTCACCTTATATTATGATTGTTACAGCACAGAACTTCCTAACACTTTCAACATAAAACCTAACGTTGACTCTACGATAACTGATAAGTGTCAGCAATACACCAACTAACTAGAAACACTCACAGAAAAAACAATAAAACTATATTGAAAACTATAATAAATATAAAAAATGCACCATCGTATTTTAAAATACCCTTCATGCTATTGTATCTTCTAAGAAATTTCACTGATGGTTAAACTACCGCCATCTAGTCATTGATTTATGAAACACTTAATACTTTTTTATTTATAGCGGCTCCGTAATCTTGCATTTTTAGCTGCTTTACGTAAATCAATCAAGATAGTGTGGCCGCCACAAAAAAATCAAGCATTATCAGTAATAATTCTAATGATAGGTGTAAAGGAAATTGTAAAAAGGAAATCATGTGTTATTAAGCAAATTATTGTTATATGTTATTGCATATATTAACTACATTTAAAAAAAATATTGGTGTTACTAAACTTATTTATTTTTGACCATGAGGTTAATATTATACTCGTGACAATCTAAGAATCTCGATTTGACAGCTATAAAAATACTTTGTGTATTGATGGGAAAAAAATTGGTTGCTTTAAAAACCGATTTTCGAGATATATCTATTATTTAAAGTTTGTAATGGACAATGTATGTACATAGTTTAAAATTGATTTTCAGGGCATATCGTTTTAATACATGATCGAGTGTGTAATATTTAACAGTTATTACATAAATCCAAACTAAGTTTAAATTTGGGCTAGTTTCAAAGCCAAGACATAAACTAAAACCCGACATACTGATTTTTTCCGGAAGGTTTACGTATATCAGTGGCGTGCCTGCATAATATACATTGTATATTATGCAGGCACGCCACTGATATGCACTCGCACGAAGCCGAGGCGGGTCGCTAGTCAAGAATAAAATAAACATTAAATAAGTGTGGTTGGGTCAGTTAAATAAATAAATTCACTGAATTCGTAACATTTTTATTCATTTTCGTCTCTGGAAGCTCCAGAAAAATTATCATCAGTTGAACTGTCTTCATCGATTAACCTTATAATAAATTCACTTTCAATCAAATTGTCAAAATGTACGTCTCTTCTAAAGTTTTCCGTTATAATTTTCTTTGTCCTTTCTACTAAATTGATTCAATCATCTTTTGTGACATGTGAACATGCTTCTTTAAGAAAACCAAACGTTTTTTTTTGTGGTGAATGAAGGTTTTGTATTTTGACGTGCACCATAGACTGTAAAAGATTTAAAGTTATAATAACTACATTCTTTATTCTCTCGTGCAGTCAAACGGCAGGATAGGTTCTAATAAATATGCCATTCAATTAACTATAAAAATAGGACAGAAGTCAGCCGCTCTATTAGGCGAAATATATCTACTAATATTATAATGTTCCTGGATTATTTTTTTTATAAACGTATATAAAATATATATTTATAAAACGTATGCAATCGTTCCTTTTAGATTAAAATATTTAAATACTAACCTTGAACTTGAGCCCAAATCATCTCTATGATTGACGATGGTATGGTGGGGTCCTTATAATTTTATGCCCATGTTCCTGTGCAAACTCATCGATGGTGTATTTTGGCCTCACAGGTTTCTTTTGTTTGACTAACAAACAAAATAAACCTGTGAGGCCAAAATAACTAAATTGAACAGTTCTGCTTTCAATAAATTTAAGTCAGCATCCACACCATGATTTTGTAGCCCCGTGTGTAGTGTGTGCAATTCATTATCTTCAGCCAGGAGGCCCGTACTTTTCCTTTGTAATATTTCAAATTGTTTTTATGCCAATTCCAAGCGCTTGTGCGACTCGTTCGTGTACTTGGGTAACTTCTAAAAGAGGCCCTCTATTTGCTGATTCGTTCAAAGTACTCGTGCAACTTCAAAACCAAGTCACGAGACTGGCTGTTAAGAGTACGTCCTCTTTTGTACATGTTGTCTAGTTCACATGATAACACCAAAATCACGTAATGCGTAATCAAAGTCCTGAACTAGCAAGCCAAGGTCAACGAGTATAGCAGAAACAGTCCAAGAGTGATAGCTGAGTCAGAAAATATAATAATAACCAATAACACAAAAATTTCCAAGATAGCGAGAGACCGCGCAAAGCATTGATGAATCAATGGCTTAGAAGGAAAAAAATGGAGGTTAAAATACATTTTTTCAATATCAAAGGATGAACTCAGGCTTTTTTAGCCAAACTATTTCCAATATTAACATATTAAATATCAAAATAAAGCTAGAAATATATGGTCAGATATGTGGTCAGATTTTGTTGTTTCTTTTCTAAATGTAAAAGTATCGATTTTTCAGAACATCGATTTTATTTGGCCCAAAAACGGTTTATAACGGTCACAACACTACGGCAACGAATCCAAAAACATGTCATTGTAATAACGTTCTGTCGGAATATTAATCAACGATTAATTGGTGTTTTTGAGTGCATATTTCCAATATAAAGCGAAACTTTGTGCTTACGAATGATACTTATTGTTATACTATATGGATAACATAGTCCATTTAAGATTGTGAATTTGATTTTTCGACTTCTTACATAGACGTTCATACAAAGTTATCAGGACAAGTATAACGATAAACGTTTCTCGTTATTCGTACTTCTATATTCGTGACAATCTAAGAATAGATTGTCACGAATATAGAAGTAGTAATAGTAAGAAATAGAAGTTTTAACTTCGTTTCATTAGGCAACACTGAATGAAATTAAAAAAAAATATATAAGAAATATGTCCGTCGTCTTGTGCATGTGTTTATTTCTTGTGATTTAATATTTTTGAGTGTTTTATCGCTATTGCTTATGTATTTGGGTCGAGTTATGTATTTGCGTCAAGAATGTGCTTTAAGGTGACACTAGTCGACAATATTTCCATTGATTTCCATACAAATTTCGGAGGGGTTTTACTACGCTGTTTGACAGTGTACATCCAAAGTTAAACATGATATCGTTTTGTCTCATTATCAAATTTGTCTGTACGGAAACAGAATAGTAAAATAAAATGTTATTAAAAAGTTACGAGCTACCAAAGATTCGTTTTTATTGCCAATTTTAACACAACTTTGGGCGTAAATTAGTAATAAAAGAAGTGTGAAATTTCCAAAACAAAGTCGGTACCGACACAGCTCAATTATCGAAGAATTCAAGAAATTTTATTCGTAATTAATTTATGCAGTGGTTTTTTCATAAAACCCCTTCTTCCAAAGGCCTTTTCGTATTTTTTTACGCGCGTATGTTACTATGAATTATCGTGCATCTCACTGAATAATGTTTGCCCCGGTGCGGTGCGGGAGGACGACGCTTACACACACATGCACGGGCGGTGACGCGGGCTTATTCGAGTTTTATTCGAAACGAAAAGTTTTGCTATTTTGTAATTTGGACGCCAAAGACAAAAGACAGCATGGAAATTGATATAATTGAAAGAGATGATGCGTTTTGGACGACAGACAATTTTGTTTTTTATTTCAATTTTCGTCTGTAATATAATATAATTATAAAAGAAAAAAAATTAAGTCTATAATATACGATTACTATATAAAATTGCAACAATTTCATTGGTGCCGACGGGGATCGAACCCGGGTTGCTCGCGTAGTGTGATACTTACGGCGAACGATAACCATCTGAGCTACCACGGCTCTCAATGCAAGTGTTATAAATAAATAAAGAATTACAAAACAGTTTAATTATTTATTAGACGACTCTTGCGGCGGACAAACAAGGTATATTATGTGGGATTTTCATAGGTACCTACTGTTATTACCTAGATACCTACAACCTACAATACAACAAAATGTCACAAAACGTCACCGCGTCGTGGCCACAAAATTGTAAACTTTAGGTAGGTACGTCAGTACTAAGAAAACAATCTTGATGGGTCACTTGTCTTGATAAAAACCTGTGTTTACGTTTAGTGATATTGAGTATATATAAAAAAAAAGTAAGAAGACAGGTAAGTATTTTTGAAAAAAATTTATAGGTAAGCAGAACTAATTACAATTATTATCTAAATATTATAAATGCGAAAGTTTGGATATTTGGATGGACGAATGAAAGGATGTATGTTATTCAATCACGCCAGAACCGCTGAAGGGACCTGGATGATATTTTGCTCAGAGATAGGTTATAGTCTGGAATTTTATTTTATTTTATTTTTTAAAAATACATTACCCCCGCACTAGCATTTTCTCCTGTATAGTGGAAGCAGTTTACAAACATCCAGACCCGGAACAACTATTTGTAGGCCATACAAATTTTTTTTTTCTTATTTAAAAAACGTTACACCCACACTAGGAGTTTCTCCTGTATCGTGGAGGCAGTTTACAAACATAAATTGCACAAGGACAAACATCCAGACCCGGAAGAATTATTTGTAGGCCATACAAATACTTGTTCCGTGCGGGATTCGAACCCGCGGCTCCCAGTAATATAAAATATTTCGTTCCCGTGGGATAATTTTTGCAGTTACACACGTTCGAAGCCGAACTCTTGAGTGATCGCTGCATAACCACTCGGAAAAACTAAACATAATAAAATAAGCAATCTATATTAGGTATATAGAGCCACAGAGGTATAATATGAAGCGATAAAGCAGCG